TTTGGTACCAGGGATTGAACCCAGGGGCACTCTACCACTGAGCCACAACCTCAGCCCCATTTTGTATTTTATTTAGAGACAGGGTCTCACTGAGTTGTTTATTGCCTCACTTTTGCTGAGGCTAGCTTTGAATTTGGGATCCTCCTGTCTCAGCCTCCTGAGCCGCTGGGATTACAGGCATGCACCACTGCACTGGGCCAACTAAAAGGAGTTATTTTAATTGTGGCTCATCTATCCAATGAAGTAATGGTCAACAATTAAAAAAAAAAAAAAAACACTTGAAAGTGTATTTAGAGGGTAGAAAATGGCCACTATGTGAAATAGTAGATATTTTAATTTGCTTTATTGCAATGCTGAGGTAAGTTCCTGACTATCGCGCTCACGAGAGAGCTGGGAGGGTCCCTTGAGGTTTCCCCGCTGTGTGGAGAGGGAGGGCTAGGGGGTTTACACACCTGCCGCCGCCGGGAATGGCAACAGTTCGTTCCCTTTGCCGGGTGTCCGATGCAACGTGTGGGTCCTGACCCGCTCTCCCAAGCCCCATCTCAATTCTGTGGCCACTGCCTTTGAAGATTCTGTTGGTATTAACCTCCTCAGGTTCAGGAGTAACCAACAAGTTGTTTCAGTGGGAGCGTTTAGCACTGAGTCACAGCGGTTTGTCTGCGAGACACAGGCGAACGGGAGCCTGAGTTCAGCCGCTCTAGGCTCCGTGTGTGTTCTGAGAGGCACAAACTGTTTGCCCCATATCCATGTCAACTCAGCATTGCCTAGTGATCCTGAGCAAACAGCATTTAGACGGTTTAAGACTCCCTATGCCCAGCTGAAGAGGTCAGAGACTTGATCTCTCCGCACYCGCCGCCATGTTGGATCCCCTCAGATGTGTTTTGATTGTGATAAATACCTAGCAAAGTAAAAGTAGCTGAAACCTGAACATTGGGTGAAAGAGTTCCATCAGAAGAGCCCAGAACCCCCAAAAGGCTCAAGAATTTGGAGGACATATTCCTCTGTATACAAAAGTATAGAATAAGCTGATAATAAAGACTGGCTGAATATGTGCGTGGGAAGCGGAAAGACCTTCAGGTGCATTTCTGCCCAAGTATCTGCATTCCCAATATTAGAAGTGGTGGAAGCAGGAAACTCTAACTCCAGGCTGTGAGACTCAACTGAGTCTGTGCCAGAATGGGCATAATTGATGTCCACATGCTGTAGGAGAGCCTCAGGGTCTTCTCAATAGATTCCATTGCAGGACAAGAGTTCCATCCTGCAGAAGAGAGGACAGTTCCATGTGTGAATGAATGGTGGCCAACATAAAGGAGAATCCTGCTGCTATAGATATTTGAGGATCTTCCAGTCAGCTAACCAGCTTTCTGTCCATTAGTGTATGAATGAACTCTATCCATACACTGTATTATAAACAAGAAGCCAAGAATCACTAGAGATTTGGAGAAAGATCAAAATGTGATAAACAAAAACGAAGACACAAAGAAATAAAACAAATTTGCAAGAAAATATAATGCATAAAGCTAAAGAAAATATTTTAAAAAGCATTTTTAAAAATATATAAATGATAGTGTCAGAGAGAAAAGAGAAGATAGTATACCCAGAAAAGGAGACCATGATACTGTTTCTAAAACACATAAGAAGAAGGAGATCTTGGAAATCAAAGTATAGTAAAAGAAACTTGAAAATTCATAAGAGTTGGACAATAAAGTAAAAGAAGTTTCCAAGAATGGGGAAAAATAGGCAGGAGTTAGAATCTTCAGTGTTCAACTCATTAAAATCCTCAGGAGTGGAGGGGGAACAAAGGGAAGAAAGAAGTAAAAAGGAAGAACACTAGAAAATTCTTCAGGTACACAGCCTGCAGGGGTGAGCCCTTGCCCCAGAGAGTGGACCAAAAGAAATGCACCCTGGAGCATGCTGTCACCAAATGTCAGGGCATAAAGGAATAAAGAGTGGGTCTTCCAAGCCTACAGGAGGAATGCAGATCACTTGTGAAAGATTGAGCACCAGCATGGTGTGGGGTGTCTTGACTGCACAGTACAATTTAGGAGACAACAGAGTAATGACTGTTTTCAGCCTTTGTAGAGACTGTTCTTTCCATTCAAGGTTCTTGTAGGCATATAATAGGATAAAAATCACTTTTATATTCTCAAGGTCTCAAAAATATTACTTATGGGCATCTTGTCCATAATGGAGGCAGGGGCTGGAACTGAGTAGAAAAATGTAAATTTCCAGGAAATTAAAAAAAAAAAAATTCAGGAAAAAGCAGATTTATTCTGGAAAGAAAGTGTAATCATTCTATACATTGTACATCTCAAGTAGAAAAATTTCTGCTGAAAAAATTTTGTTTTATGTTATTATAATATCTATTATCAGCTATCCTCCCTTATCCATGGGAGATACTTTTGAAGATCCCCAGAAGATATTTGGAAGCCTAGAAAGTACCAAACCTTACATATACTAATTTTTTTTTGCAATACACACATATGTACATACTGATGATAAAGTTTAATTTATTAATTAGGCATAGTACAAGATTAACAACAATAAAATACAATTATAATAATATACTATAAAAAATTTCCAGCATTACTACCCTTACATTTTGGAACCATTAAGTGAAATATAGAATCTTTGAACACAAGGACTATGATACTGTGACAGTTGATCTGATAACCTAAATGGCTATTAAATGACCAACAGGTAGCATATATAGTATGGATACAATGGATAAAGGGATAATTAATCTTATGTGAGATGGAGCAGGACAGGAGGTGGTTACTTGGAACAGTGCCCAATTTAAAAATTGTCACTTTTTTTCTCTTTAATAGTTTTATCTGCAGGTGACTGAAGGTAATGGAAACTGTGGAAGATGAAACTGCAAATAAGGGTAGACTACTATATAACTAGTGAAAAGTAATTTACATCTCATGCTATAATTTTTGGAAAGATGAAAAAAATGTGTGCATATGTGTCCATGTGGGTATGTACATGTGCATGTCTCAAAGAATAAATCCCCACTTTCAGGAGTAGAAAGCCAACATCTAATGTGCAAAAATCAAGGAGTAGCACAGTGAACTTATTATTTAGAAAAAAGCAGTAAATGCCAAAAGAAAATGTGTTTGAAGTGGTTCTTGCCATTGCAAAGATAGTAGACAAGGAATCACTGATTTTGACTTTGAGCTTTGTAGGACTTTTTGATTTTATGTTATTTTTTGGTTTATGCAAAATATGTTGTAGAACTTTAAAGACATGGGAGATGATTATAATATGTTGTGGTAGAAGGAAAAACTTTAAAGATATGGGAGATGATTATTATATGTTGTGGTAGAAGGAAAGAGAGAAAACATTAGTTTCAAAAGAAAAGATAAAGACTAAAAAATATGTTAATCATTAGTAGTTTATATTGATTAATAAAGTCAATCACATAATTATTTTCTTCCTTTTGTTTACATATATATATTTTTGCAATAGTGTAGTACTGATAAAATTTTAAAGGATGTAGTACCACGTCCAGTCCAGAAGAGGAAATTGTGTTCCTTGGGTCCTGAGCTGAATGTTCAGTTCTCATATACGTGGTGCAAACATGAGTTAATAAACCAGAGCACCTGATCAAAGCCAAGGTACTAAAGAATGGTGGTGTGGGCCAGTGCCATCCCTGTAATGGACCCTTGAAAGGTCAGGGAATGCTTGGATGAGTGGTACAAAACTTGACTGAGAACAGTTTGAGGGCAAGAACAAGTGAAGTTATCATTTTCATTATTGCCCAAAATATGCACTGCTCTGCACACAACTCAGTACTCTTTAAGTGAATTTTAATTATTGAAAGAAAGTGAATGAACTTTGGCTGTAATTAAGAGCAGAGAATTATGGAGTCCTTTAGAAACAAAAGAACTAGAATCAATACATTCAATTTTTTATTGGTGCATTTTAATTTCACATAATAGAGAGATTAGTTGTTACATATTTATTCTTGTGCACAATAGAATAAAAAATATTGGTCAATTTTGTTCTATAGTATTTAATTTTACAGATGAAACAAAACAGATTTCACTTTCAACATTTAGACCTACCTAATACTGACAAGCTGCCTTTATTTTTTTATTTATTTATTTTATTTGTTGCTTTTTTTATTCATTTCTTGAGAGTGAACAATGGAGTTTGGTCCATTTCATCACCTTTGATTGAGAGCAGAAGGAGATGTAATAGTATAATTGCAGTCTACTAAGCTAGACATTTTAAAAGAGTTTTATAAAAATAGGAAACAATGTTCCTCTTCTCATTATTTTTTTTTATTATTGATTGTTCCAAACATTACAGCCTAATACTGACAAGCTGCCTTTAGAAGCTGTGAATTTTTCATTGTTAGAGTCTTTAAGTAGGAGCTGGATTTCTGCTTTATATGGGAGATTGATGTCTTTTATTCTGATCTAATGTCCCATTTAACAGAACCTTAGTTCTAGATCCAGGAGTTGGCAGCTTGTGGACCATGTAAGTCCTGGCTACTCTGGAGTATGAGCTTGCAGAAGCAGGGAAATACATGCAAGACAGGGCACAGGAAGCATGAACTACTCCCATCTCTTCTTCTAATGTGTGGACACAAATAATGGTAGTCCCCCTTATTCCTGGGAAAAAGAGTACTCTTGCATTTAATTAAGGAGTAGGGATCATTTTCTCATTTATGCCCTAAAAAAGATTCCCAGGCTCCAGAATTACTTACCTGGATCCCTAGAAAATATGAGTTCCCTGTGCTTGGGGGAACTTGTGAGTGTCCATGAACATCACTGTGTCATCTCAGGGCCTTGCTTAGAGAATATGGCAGGCCTCACACCACTGCCTCCACCACCTGCCTGAGAGAACCCAGAATGAGGATGGCAATCTGACAGCCTTCCTTATGGCACCCATGCCACAATTGTCTGTTTCCATAGGTCCTGTGTCCCACAAACGCATCACCCACATACAAAAATTCCCCTAACCCTATCTCTCCTCTTTCTGTTTCTCAGATGTCTCTGGGCTCACAGGTTGATTTGCAGAAGAAGAAGCGGCGGGCACCAGCTCCACCTCCACCTCCACCTCCACCACAGCCACCATCACCAAGTCCCCTGCCACAGCCACCTCCACCAAGTCCCCTGGTCCCCAACCGCAGGGAGGAAAAGGAGGAGAACAGGAAGAGCACAGTAGGTGAGTGAGTCTGGGCTTGCTGTCTGCATACCTCTGGAATGCCTGCTGTGTGTGGAATACTAGCACTGCTCTTAACTCTCACAGTGGACTCATCCATAATAGCATTAACCCAGAAAATATTTATGCTAAAGAAAGAAAGTCTGGAAATAAGTAGCTGTGTGTTCACTTAATATCTTATTTTCATGGACATTACAGGCATTGAGGAGGTGGGGTAGTGGGAAGGATGGAGAGTGGCTGCATAAGGTGGGAGAAGGTGACAAATGGAGCATGAATGAGTGTGACTGTGTGATATGTGTCTTTCTGGTGGAAAAAAGATAAGCTCTTAAGATGACATCCTTGTAGGTTGTTTTGAAAGATATCTGGCACTTGACAGCTTAGGCCCCATGTAGTTTATATAGGGTGCACATCTCTAATATGAAAATCCAAAATGCTCCAAAGTTTGAAACTTTTTGAGTGTCAACATGATGCACAAGTGGAAAATTCTATACCATGAAACTATTTCACACAAAAAATTATTAAAAATACTGCATAATTACCTTCAGGTGTGTATGTAGGGTGTAGATGAGGCATAAATTAATTTCATATTTAGGCTTAGGTTCCATCCCCAAGATATCTCAGTATGTATATGCAGATGTTCTAAACTTAGAAAAAAATTTGAAACCCAGAATGTGTCTGGTTGTGAGCATTTTAGGGATACCCAGCCTATAAATGAGTTACCTCATTAGTTTTCTGACCAWCCTGTTTGAAGTTAGACTGCATTTATATAACTTTTATTTAGCAAAGACTCTGGTATGTTTTGACCAGGTATTATGACATGATTATATCTCTACATCTTATGGTGTGGGTGAGGTAGATAGATGCTGAATGATGGAGGTCTCTAGGCCTGTGAGTCAGGGATAATCAATCTTATTTTAAAGTCCTTCAGTGTTAACTATTTCATCAATTAGAAACAGAAACAGCTCTTTCAGAGAAGGATTTGGAACAGAGCAGCATAGGAATCACCCACTCCTGAGCCTGAGACCCCAGTGATGGAAAGCACATCAGAGCCCCCTCTGAAGCCAGCAGACAGCCACTTCTGGTTCCTTTAATCCTGTCCCATGGCCCTGCTTTTTACCTGTGGCCCAGTATATGTGGTTCCAGAAGGAAAAATACACCTGAGGACAAGTGTTTGTTGTCAAGCTCTGAAAACTTTGATAAGTTCTACTAGGTTGTTCAGCATTTCCCCCCTTTAATCAATACCTCACTTAATGCCCTAGCATTTCACAGCCTGAGAATCAATTATCATAAGGAGAAATGACCTGTATTTCATGTCAGTTCATCCTCTTTCATAGGGGAAAATACTGTCAGATTTAAAGACAGTATTATCATTGGACCATTAAAATAAAACCGGATTTCTCCTGTTTTATGATGAGAAAAGCTCCCTCCCTTCTCTTTGGAAAGGGAGACAACCTCCCCCTCCACCCCGTCAGATTTAGAGATATCCTTGTTGAAATTCTCAGAAGCAACCACTTTATGTGGCCATGAGGATGTGGTCGAGTCATACCAAATAAACTCCTCGCCAAGCAGCCCATTTCAACCCCGAGTCAGCCAAGAAGGAAGAAGTATTTGTGTCTCATGGGCTTGGAGAACCTGCCCATCTGATGGGCCAACTGATGCCTACAGATGCCTGAGGAGATGAGAGGCAGGAGTTCTAAAATTGAAAATTGCACAATTTCCTCAGAAACATTACAAGAGGAAAGTAACAAATAGTAGTGATTTGCTACAAGTCTGTCTTTCTGGTCCATAAAGTATCATTTGTGAGGACTTAGAAGGCCAAAAACTTCTCTCTTGCTGACAATAATTGGAAATAATTGGAATGTTTTTTAGGACAGGAGATGATGGAAAAGGCCTTGGAAGCAATGGCATGTCAGACTTCCATCCCCATCAGAAGTCCCCATTCATTAAAAGTATACCATACAGAAGATGTAACCAAACCTTAGGTTGAAGGAAAACAAGTAACCCCTATCCACATCAAGTGAMTCTTTCTATACAGAAATATAGATATAAAGAAAATTTTATTTTAGAACTTGTACTAAACAGTATTACCAGTAGCTGGATTTGGATCTTAGTTCAACTTTATTGGAATGGAAAGCGTCCTTCTTTTTTGTTTTGCCCTTTTAATGACACTGCCAGGGCCAGATAAACAGTACCATCCAGACTGATTTGGGCTCATTTTCACTTTAAGGAAAAAAATGTTGCTTTATATGGGGAAATTAATATTTTACCACATCTAGAGAAACTGTATTCAAAACAAGGAATAAATGAATATATCTCAATGAAAAAATGCTGTTTCTTAGTATTTTTATTAATAATCTGGTAAAGGACATAAAGTGTTGAATATGTATTATTCGAAGATTCAGAACTCCAAAGCTTGAATAAAGTGTTTATTAAAAAAATGATAGTGAATGTGACCTAACTGGTAATTCATGTCATTTTTTACATTAGCATCCAAAAATTTCATTAGCATGCCATTTTCACATAAAATTTTAAATGCATCCCCAACATATAAACAAGATACATGAGGGTTTTTCACAGATGAAATGGAACTGGACTCACCACACACACCCAACTGTCCACAACTCAGAACCTTCTTCAAAACAAACTCTGGAAACCATTACCCCAAACAATGAAAGAGGCTCACAGTATAATAGGCTGAAGAGAATATTTAAATTACTGCTTTATCTATTATTATATTGTTCAGTAGATATGGAAAAGTAGCAAAAATTAGCTAAAAAACAGATCTGAGAACCTGAAAAAGACTAATGTGAAGAACAGGAGTTTATTTTAATCTGACAGTATTGTTTAGGGGGCTTTTAAGAATAGTTTCAGGCCCAGTATTTATGTCATTAGCCTCCCAGAAATAAAATTGCAACCAGGCAGATAGTTACAAATTGACCTGGCTGTAGGACAGTACATACATACAAGTGTGATGGGATCTTGTATCAGCTGAGATTGGATTTGGTGATAGGAAAGTTTGGATTTGGTTTAAAAAAAATACAAAGTTGTATCTGGTGTTGGGTATATTTGGTGTTTGAATGTCTAAATCCAGAATGAGGCTGGATTTAGTATTGGGTATGACTGGATTTGGTGCAGAATGAGGTTATGTTTAGTGTAGAGTGAGGTTGGATATGGTGTTGGGTATGATTAATTTTGCCATTGGGTGTGGGTGAATTTGGTATTGGGTATGGCTGGATTTGGTGTTGATATGACTGGATTTGGTATTAGGTATGATTGTATTTGGTGTAGAATGAGGTTGGATATGGTGTTGGGTGTGGCTGGATTTGGCGTTTGGATGGTTGGATATGGTGTCCTCCGATGGAAGATAGGTACTCTTTTGGCTTAACTTCTGAAGTCACTCCCATTGATTCCACATAGGTGTTGGACGGCAGGTACCACAAAAGCCTCCCAGAGGCACTGCTCGAGGCCCACCTCAGCTAGTGCTTCCCCCGCCCCCGCCATATCCTCCTCCTGATACAGATGTAGCGGAGCCTCTCAGCTTGCCCGGGGAAGGTGCTGGTTCCGAGGCCTCAGAACTGAGACCCAAACGTATGTGCCTCTTGTCTCCATTCAAACTGTGTGTTGAGTGTTAATCTCTCTCATCACTACTGGTGTTGTGGATGGATTTCCAGACTTTCCATTCTTGCCTTTGAATGTCTATGCCTTTCTTTCCCAACTTTTCCTCCAAATGCTCAATGCAATGTGTCTGACTTCTCAGAGAATGCTCTCCAAAAGCCATGAAGATGCCCATAGCAAGGATTTTACCAGTCAGTCTTTATATCTGTGGTTAGACTTAAGTTATGCTTTGTGGGTGGAAATCGTCAGCAGGGAGCTAATATTCCTCACAATAGAAGTAACCTCAGAAAGTCTGTAGAGGAAGAATTGTTTGGGATTCTGTTAGAAGGCTCACCATGAGTGCACACAATAATATTGTACCCAAGAGCTGGGAGGATTAGTTTATAAGTCAGCCTTGAACTTCATGGCCAGCAGCCCAGCATTATGCTTTTCTGAAGGAAAAGAAACTGAGGAACCAGAAGGGGAAACTGTGTGAGTCCAGCAAAAGCCAAAATAATAGTTCTATTTTGCTTCTACATCCTAGCACACCCTGATATGGGAGTTTTCTTAGTTTCTTGGGATTTCTTTTGAACTTTAATAAGTACTATATACAGCCTTCTGCCTCCTGGTGGGTAATAGTTTTATACAATGAAATATATATATTCAGATGGCATCACATGCATGTCAGGCCTATGCTTGACCTCCTTCAGTATGTCTCAGCCATGTGGTGTCACTTCCTTTTAAAGCCAGCACCTGGAGAGTATAGATTCTGTACACTGTTCATGGTGGTGAATTACAATAAATGTAGAACATTCCAACTGGGGCAAGTGTATTATACTTTTATATATACTTATGTACCTAAACTTGAAAGATCCACCACTGAAGAATTTAATAATTAAGTTGTCTGGTTGTGTAAATTTACCCCGATGCAAGTCCTGATAAGTAATTATCAAATAAAACTAATTCCTACCCTTAAAAAAATAAAAATAAAGCCAGCACCTGGACTGCATTTTCCAAAAAGTGTGGAATCATATAGCCATAGCCCTGTGACCAGCTGATTGATGCCCATGTAAGTTTGTACAACTCCATGGTGAGAAAGTTCATACCTCTCTGTCACTGGACTGTCTTATCTTTTTCTGTCTTCTTTGGAAATGATGAATAGCTCTAGCTGCCTGCTGTCTTCTGGGTAGAGAAGATAATTGTTGGCTTACTTATTACTTTCTCTAGGCAAAATAATCCTGATTTATTTTATCTTTCTCCACAAATACTTATTTTACATCCTTCAGATACTTTTGATCATCTTGACATTGGAGATGCTTTTGAATGGAAATTAAATGTTGTAAGATATTTAACAATTAAGGATTAATTAGACATACCAGTCAAAAAGATGACAGCTGTGGTATAGCTGACTCCAGAATTATTTAATCTCTGAAGAGAGTAGTGTTTTAAGCCATCTACACCAAGGCCACATGCTTTCAGTGGCACCCTGGTGGCTGCTATCCTCACCCATAGCATCTCCTCCTTGGGGACAAGTGAGAGAGCAGTTGCTGAATGAAAAGAGTAGAGCTTATTATAGCCACTGGTAATCGAGAGTCAGCCACAGGATCCATATCTTGTGGTCTGTGTGGGATGGGGCAGCCCAGCATAAGACCTAGAACACTTTCTCACATCTGACTTCATGCGGATTCACAGGTGCCAACTTTCTCCTCAGCCTCCCTCTATCTGGGGAAGCTTTCTCCGGCATCTGTGGTGCTGTGAAGGCATTTTCTACCTGCCATTAGATTTTCCAAGAGGTCTGAGTGGAGAGTGGAACTAAGCAGCAGGTGAAAGACCAGTTTCTCTTTATTCTTGTCTGGGGACCCCATTTCCCCACTTATGCCCACTGACAACTCTCTGCCTGAGTTTATTTCCCTGTCTGGGTACATGTCACGTGGGACTTCCTTTGCCCTCCTTGTCACAGTTCACATATCACCCTCCTCCTTCCTCTAATGCTCATGGAGATGCTCATAATAGAGTGAAAAAGAACAAGAGATCTAGAGAGGAGGTGGCCCCTGAGGTTTTAGAGGGCAATGTCCTACTCTGAACCCAGTCCGATAGCTTGCGGGTAGCTGGGGTTCAATCAGAGTTTCTCCTTCTTCCCCCTGCTCCTGTGTCCTGGCTGCTGTGAATTAGAATTCCATACATCCAACCTGGAGCTTTTTCCTTACCTAATTAGTGGAACTGGCCTGCCCATTGTTTACAGAATAAAAACTGGGATGGCCTGCCCAGCCAGGCAGTATGCAACTTGCCTTCTTTGATTCAGGACTTAAGAATAGTTCAGGAAAATGAACCCTCTGTGTTTTATTTATTTATTTGTTTATTTATTTATTTATTTATTCATTCATTCATTTATTCATTCATTTATTTATTTTCCATGGTACTGAGATCTTTGTACTCCTTTCATCTTTCTTGATAGAGGCATAGGTGCATGACATAAACAAACGAGTGTGAATTGTGTTCATGTCATTTGCATCCCATGTCCCAATCAGACAAGTATTTTTGGCTGTGTCCAAGTGCTATATATAAAAATGTTTATATCAGCTACAAGCTCTTCCATACCGCCTCTCAAATTCAATTTTAAGACTGTGTTCCTAATAAAGAGATTCCATGTTCCTAGTGGGAACTTTCACTGAAGTACCATGAAGGCTGGACAATCCAGCAGGAATCCCATATAAAAAGTCTCATGTGAGTCCCACTGTAAGTGATTCAGTGGGATTTCTCTTTATAGGATCTCAGACCCTGAGTCTTGCCCCATTTGTCTGAACTTTTCTTACACTATGCTAGAACTCCCAGGGAACACCTATAGCTTTCGTGCATCCATTCTGATYTATACAAATGGAATATACCACTTAGGTTAATAAAATAAGAAAATACACTTTCTTGAAACCAATAAGCACAGCTGACCTTCATACAATGAAAAGATGCAAAGAACTAGTGGAGAACAGATTTGTACACAGGTGTTAGAAGGTGATGGAAGACATGAAGTCAGTCCTCAGAACTCCACCCTGCATTTTGCGTCTCCTGCTCTGTTCCAGCTGTACCTTCCTCCCCTCCCTGACATCTGGGATCTTGACCTAGTCCCAGTCCTGAGGTGTTTGCTGGCCACTGCCTGCCATTCCTCCTGGGAACAGCCTTCTGCAAGCCTTCTTAAGAACTCTGCTGAGGACAAACCCCTCATTTCCATTTCAGTGCTTAAATCATTATCAGTACTTGACCAACACTTACCTGAAACCGAGGTAAAATGGAGAAGACTATGTTCGTGTGTTCAGTTCCCATATGTCTGGGACTTTTGAACAAATGTATTGTTTGTATTCAGGAGTTATAGAAGAGACAGAAGAGTCATGCACTAATATGTGTTTGGCTATAAGAGACCACCTGTCCATACCCTATTCTACAGTCTATCCTAGACTGACCCAGCCTGAATATATGCTCTAGCCACAGTTAAGCAGACTCTGTGCACACTCTGCTGCCATCTCAGGAAACAATCTTTGGCAAAACCTGCCAATTTTCCCCATTCTGAATTTCTCTTATCATCCTCTAGACATTTATCATTTACTTATCATTCTGTATTACATGCACCTGTTAGATGCCTCTTCCATGAGTTTGGGTGCTTGGAGGCTTTAATATTCATTCCTATTTGTATCTGTGATTCAGATTGGTGCCTGACACATGGTATATATTCAATAAAGAAATGTTACAGAATATGTCTTGTTATGTGAATCTTAAGTATCAAATACTATTCCATTCTACATTATTAAACTGAGAAGATGTGTGCTAGGCTAAAAGGCATCCAGTACCAGGATTTTAGGTCTATCTATAGGATCCCCTCAATAGATTCAACATTACAAAAGACTTGTTACAGTTACATTGAGAAAGAGTGAAGAGTTCAGTGGAATTCAACATACCAAACTTGGCTTCTTTATTCTTTAGTTGGTTCCTAATTCTTTGGTTGTCTGTGGGCATCTGTAAAATAACTCCTAGTAACCCCTACCTCCCATGTTCACCCTGTAGTGCAACCCTCTTCCCTTGAACACTGGCCTTAGTGACTCATGTCTAAGGAATCCAATGTGGTAGAGTACTAGGAAGTCACTTGCCACTTCCAGAATAATGAGAAGAGAGAGAGACAGTGGCTTCCATCTTGGGCACCCCCTCTTATTTGCTTATTTTGATGAAAGTCAGGTATCATGTTGGATCTGTTTTCTGGAGTCCTGCATGGCAAGGAACTGAGAGAGAGACTCTGGTCAAAGGCCAGTGAGGAACTGAGACCCTCAATCTACTGACCCTTTGGATGGAGTCCTGCCAACAGTCATTCAAATCAGGATGCAAGCAGATCACTCCCCAGCAGAGCCTTCAGGGAGACCACAGCCCTGATGGATGCCTTGATTGCAGCCTTGTGGGAGAYATGGGTCAGAGGCCCCAGCTAAGCTGTTCCTAGCATCCAGACCTACAGGACCCATGAGATGATATTTGCTTATTTTAAGCCTTCAAGGATTGGGGCAATTTATTCTGGGGCAATTTTATTATAAAAGAAACCCATCCCAAACCTATTTCTTTTATTTATTTATTTATTTATTTATTTATTTTTTGTTTTCGGTGGACACAACATCTTTGTTTGTATGTGGTGCTGAGGATGGAACCTGGGCCGCACGCATGCCAGGCGAGCGCACTACCGCTTGAGCCACATCCCCAGCCCCCCAAAACTATTTCAACAATGAAGGAATATCTTACCATATGTAATCCCAGAGTGTGGAAGACTTCAGTATGAGTTGAATCTGAAGCCTAAATTGGTCAGCAAGGATCTATGTTCTTTCTTTCTCTCCATATTATCTTTGAGGTTAGCTTCCTCTTCAAGCTGGAAGAAGGGAATCTGTGACTGTTCTGTGTCATATCCAGATACCACAATTTCCAGAGACTGTCTCTTCTAATCTTTTCATAGTAAGAAGGAAATCATTCCT